TTTTATTTATTCATTCATTTATTTTAATTTGACCAGAAAGAGACACACAAAGAGAGAGAGAGGGAAAGTGAGAAAGCAAACCACCAGGTCCAGGACTTGAACCAATCACCATGCCACCTGTTGGTCCCCTCTGAATATATTTTTAAATGTTTATAATAATGAGTCATTGTAAGACGTTTAGGGGTATTCAAAAAGGAGTAGAATTAGAGTACAGACATTCCCACCAATAGTGACAGGGGAGGATAAAAAGCAATGAGTGGCACACATGTGCTGACGACCCTCCTGTTTATATTCCCGTTTCGGACTGAACTTCAGATCGCAGGTCTGTTTACCTTCCTAACCGCTCCACTTGGAAGTCCATTAGACATCCCAAATGTAGCAGGTTCCAAGTGGAACACTCACTTTTCTACCGTCGCCCCACTCCCTGACGAATCTGCCTCTGTTCAAGGCGTCCCCATCTTAGCGAACTAAATCACCTTCCTCAAATGATTAAATTAAAAACCTAGGATTATATTCCCCTCCTTCCCACTCTCCTCCCCCTCTTATTAGTTAGGATTTTTTGACTGCAAATAATGGAAAGACTAGTTAACAGCAGCTTAAACATCGAGGATATTTATTATCCCTGGAGAAATTGGAGCAGAGGTCTGTCCCAGGGTTGGTTTAGTGATGTCACCATTAACTGTGGTATTCTGAGGTTTCTGCTCTGGCATCCTCCATGGGCTGGTGACATCATCCCTCATGAGCTCAAGATGGCTGCTGCAGCTCTAAGTAAGCACTTCCTCAAAGGACATTATCTTGAGGCAGAAAAAGTGAGGTTTTCTTTCTTTCTTTCTTTCTTTTTTTTTTTTTTTGAAGAGGTTTTTGCTAGGGCGCGTGTGTTCACCAGACAGACAGAGAGAGACAGAGAGACAGAAAGCGAGAAATCACCCCCAGGGGGGATGGCCACGCCGCAATCCCTTCTCCTCCATTCTCCTCTCAGGATCTTGGGCACGCACAGTGAGTTTTAAGCCACCGGGTCCAGGACGTGAACCGCGGTCGACTATGTCCAGCGACATAGCCATTACGCTAACTGCTAGTCCCAAAAGTGAAGTTTTCTTCTATCTCTTTTTCTCAGGAAGAAAATTCTTCCTTAAGGCACCCTGGGAGACTTCCCCTGACTCCTTACTAGCCTGTGCCTAAGCCAGTCACTGGAATTACCTTGCATGGCTTAGACTTATCAATACTCAGCCCCAGGTCTGAATATGAGAAAAGCCATATTTTTTGAGCAAGTATAAGAGAGAATACATAAAGTCAGGACCCTGCCCGTGAAGGAGAGGGCAGGCCGGTGAGGTGGTTCCAAGGTTGGCCATGCCCACATCAGCATGACCTCCCCTTAAATTTTTTAAAAAATTATTTTCTTTATCTATTTATTTATTTTTATTTGACCATAAAGGGATAGAGTGAGAGTGAGAAAGCAAGCTGCCAGGTCTGGGACTCAAACCGAGGTCAGCCATGTGTGAGTCCAGCATCTTTAACCACCTCGCCACCTGCCAGCCCCAGACTGCCCCCTAACTTTAAACCCAGCTGCTTCCAGCTGCTTCCCACCACCACCTGCTACAACTCAAATCAAGCACCAAGCCACCATTCCTGGATGCCTGTGGTAGCCACCTACCCAGCTTCCTGCGTCTGCTCTTGAAGCCCTGGAATGCATTCTCCCTGCAGCAGCTGCAGTCATCTCCCTAAAATACAAACCAGGCAACGGTGCTTGCGTAAAACCCTTCCATTGTACATATGATAAAGCCCCTCTCCTCCCAAGGCCTCCTACCTCTGTGAGCCCACCTGAAACAGTTCTCGCTCTCCTTTGTGCTGTTCCTTTTTCTCTTTCTTTCTTTCTTAATTTTTCTTTTTAAGGGGATTTTTTTTTCTCTAGGGTGCATGCACTGGCCAGAAAGACAGAGAGAGACAGAAAGTGAGAAATCACCCCCAGGGGAGATAGCCACGCCGCAGTCCCTTCTCCTCCATTCTCTTCTCAGGATCTTGGGTATGCACGCATGCATGTCCAGCGTGAGTTTAAGCCACCGGGTCCAGGACTCAAACCACAGTCGACTACATGGGAGTCCAGCGACATAGCCATTATGCTATCTGCTGGTCCCCTTTCTTTCTTTCTTTTACTTCTTTTTTTTTAAGACATATTTTTGCTATAGAGCACGTGCTCTAGACAGAGAGACAGAAAGCAAGAAATCACCCCCCGGGTGGAATGGTCATGCCACAATGCCTTCTTCTCCATTCTCCAGATCCTGGGCAGGCATGAACACGCACCCAGTGTGAGTTTCAAGTCACTGGGTCTGGGACTTGAACCACGGTTGACTACGTGGGAGTCCAATGATGTAACCGTCTGCCGTCTGCTGGCTCCTCTCTTTTGTGCTGTTTCTTTGAACACACTGGGCTTACTTCTACCTGTGAATTTTCGCATTTGCTCTTTCCTCTACTGGGACCACGGTTTTTAAAATAAATAATTAATTAATTAAATTTCATTTGTTAATATTATTATTTTTTAATTTGACCAGAAAGAGAGAGAGAGAGAGACAGGGAAAGTGAGAAAGCAAGCCGCCAGGTCCGAGACTCAAACTGCGGTCAGCCATGTGGGAACCCAGCACCTTTAACCACTACACCACCTGCTGGCCCGGAGCACAATTTTTAAGACCTGCTACTGCTGTCTCTTCATCACTCAAGTCTCTCAGTTCACAAATCATCTTCTTAGACAGGGACTCCTCTGTTCAGTTCAAAATAATAGCATCCCATCCCGCTCTGCCCCACTTTCCAGGCTGATTTTCTTCATGTACTTATTGCTACCTGAAATTCTCTTGTTTGTTTATTGTCTGTCTTTCCCCTGAAGATGGAAACTTAAGAACTCAGTGGGCCAGCAGGTGGTGTGGTGGTTAAGGGTGCTGGACTCCCACTTGGCCGACCCTGGTTCAAGTCCCGAACCTGGCAGTTCTCCCTCTCTCTCTCTCTGTCCTTTTCTGGTCAAATTAAAATAAATGAAAATGAATAAATGAATAAAGTTAAATAAAATAATTAAAAAAAAAGAACTCAGGGACTTTTTTTTTGTCCATCACTGTATCCTGGAACAGTGCTTAGCAGATAGCAGGCACTTAATAAATGTTTGTTGACAGAATTGATAGTATTGACTGGGGAACCAGCAGTTAGCGTAATGGCTATGTAGCTGGACTCCCACGCAGTTGACCGCGGTTCGCATCCCGGAGCCAGTGGCTTAGAACTCACGCTAGGCGCGTGTGCGTGCGTGCCCAAGATCCCGAGAGGAGAATGGAGGAGAAGGGATTGCGGGGTG